TAAGCTGGTCTTTACTTGTCACCTTTCACAATGACACCCAGCATTTAGTTGGCATTTATGGCTGTGGTTGAACACTGAACTGAGGATTTTAGAGAACTATCAACTATGACTTGAAGAAGTCTTTTCTTCACTCAAAGTTCATGTGAGAATGTTAGTGAGGATCAGATTATTCTTCCCTAATCAAGTAATCTTATATTGACTTGGACTGAAGGTTATCTTCTACACATTAGACCACCTGTTCAGTTTTAAAACTTTAAGATCTTTACCATTTACGTGAAATTTAACCACAGATCTTAAGATTTTTCTGTGTGGTCCTTCTTTGGGTCAATGAAATTGAACAGACTTGGTCCTAGTCCTGATTTCGTGGGAATCCTATTGTTAAGACTTTTTCCAGCAAAAAGTGACTTTTAAGTCATACTTGTGCTTCCTATCACTTTAGGTCCATAAAAATCCCCTTTTTTCAATTCCGTTCTGTTACTTTCTTCAGTAATCTTTATTGGGATGCCTTGTTCTGAAAACACAAGTCAACTGGATCTTCGTTTACCCACACGCTTCCATGCCACTCTGAGTTCCTGCCAGTAATAAGGCAATATTTTCCTTTGCAAAAGATAATTGATTTTTCCCCCCAGATATGTGTGGGCTCAGCAATATTATTCTTCCACTTGGACTCTTCTATGTTACCAGCAATGGAATTTACTATCAGTAGTCCTTTCAGGATCTTCAGAATTCAAGGGTCAGTGCCATCTGAGGCACATGACTTAGTGATTCAGCAGGTCCAGTATTTTCTATGCAATGTCGATGTAGCTACTCTGATGTTAGAAAGAGGTGTTGTGTGAGAAGCTGACTCATCATCTTCATCAGTAATGATGGATGCCAACAATTTGCTAAACTTCTTTGCTGTGATCTTCCCTTTCTTTAGTACTCTTTTCATGCCTCTGTTGGAAAATGATCCTGGCAACTGCTTGGCTGCCTTTCATCTCTCAAAGTATTTAAAGAATGTTTTAGTCTCAGCGTGTGCATCTGTTGCAAGGTGATCTTAAAATTCTTCTTCATCCTCTTAATTTCCTGTTTACATTTAACCTGCCTTGTTTTATGGCCTTTCCGGTTCTCTTTTTCATTCTGTTCATTTTCAGGCATTTCCTGATGTTGTCTTCTGCAGTCTCCTGACACATTTTGAATAGCACATGCTGTTACATACACTAAAGCAAGGGCAGAGTTTTATGCTTAATTATTCAGTGTTTTCACTTGCAGTTGCCAGTAAACTGCAACAGAAAGTTCACTGTTAGTTACTGTAGACAGTTCACTATTTTCTAAGTTCAAAATGTTTTCTCCTTTCATAGGATCTTTCTTGAAGCAACAGAATTACAAATTTTGATTTTGGCACAAATGCAGGACATCACAAAATGAGTGAATCAGGAGTAAGGCGGTGTAGTTGAGTCTCTTTGAAACAAAACCAGTTGTTTCTGAATATTCAAATATTAGATATGGAAGATTTAAAAATCTGCTGATATGAAAGAAGATGCCTCAAAGTCTTTTCAAGATCTAGATGTGCACAAATCCCATTTATTATTATCATTCAGATTACTGTGATGCAGAGTTGCATCCCGTGTTCTTGGATTGTTGACTATAAATGTAAACCTTCTTAGCTGTATAAAATGTAATATGATAATTACATTTCTTTAGGAAAATACGCAACTGTGGAGTACTGTGATGTGATTGTAATACTGTGCATCATTTTTCCAATTGTTAATGGCTGAAGTAGTAGAGATTGTTAGCTGTTAATTCAGCCTTACATTGAAGCATGTCCAAGCTCATTGGTAACTAAGGGAAACCGTACTGTGATGTCGTTCATATTAACTGTGAGCCTTTGTTGTACTCATTAACCGTGTGCCTTTATTATAGCTGCATACCTCTGGAGGGATGTTGTATTACTGGGTTGTACAACTGGCTGAATGGGGAAGCTGGAGACTGGCAAGCAGATGAGCAGTGATTCTCTAAATGTGATAAGTAGTATAGAACTGTGGGATGTGCACCTTCTTGTTTCTTCTACATTGCAGTAGGCAAGCAGTTAATATAATTGGCAATGATTATTGCTTATGCTTCAGATTTAATGTCCAGCTGAGATTAATTTGAAGAAGGTTTCTCAGAACAGTGGGATCTTGGAGCACGGCTCTACCTGCAATTGTGAGAGAGAAGGTACAGAATGCTTTCTTCTGATGTAGCTATATCCTGATGAATGTTTTTAAAAAACTTTACATGACCTGGCTGTACATATTCAAATTCAGTACCCTGGGAGGCCCCATCCAGTCTTAAATTCCTGTAAGTGTTGTGGCTTTTATGTAGATGCAGGAAAGCCTTATTAGCAGATTAACTAAAGACTCAGTCAGCAGCTGGGGGTTTTCTGCACATTTTAAAAGCTAAATAAAGTTAATTAAAGGTACTGGGCCAAAGCTTTAGGCTCAAATTTGGAGTCTGTAGCTGTGGAATTGGCTATTTGACATGCTTAAGTTTGAGTCCAGAATACATATTTGTGGTAAAATGTAGACTTCAGATGTATGTTTCATGAAGTGCTTACATTCCTCAGGGAAATATTTATCAATCTGGTATTTTTCTAGCATTTCAATACAAAAATACATTCTACAGAGCCTGCACAGTTATTTGATTGTGATGAGTTAATTTCAAGGGGCTAAATGCAAAATGCATTTAATGTAGAAGCTCTTGGTTTGAATTTAGGGATAGAAGTGTTCTAAGAGATGAATAGAAATAAGGAGAAATAGGCATTTCTCTTTATTTTTTACACCTTTCGTAAGTGTAAAAATGTCATGAAAGAATAAATTTCATTTTTAGCAAGTAATAAATCAAGGTCTAAAGAGGTTTGATATTCTTTGACCAGATTTTTAAAATTCCTGATAGTATGCAATGTAATATTTATGTTCTGATTTTCTTAGAATGTTTAGTGTGTTTCAGTGAACACGGATTTCCTTCCATTTGGGAAGCTTTTTCCCTAAAACGGTGCTTACTATGCAGGTGAATTATTGTTTCCCTTGACAAACACGGAAGCCATCTAATCCCATCCTGTGTGATAACTTTGGAAATCTCAAGGAGCACTGCAAAACTCAAGTGCTGCATGGCTACACTAAACTAAGCTTTGAATATGTGCTTGCAACTGGATGCTTGCTAACTGATTAAATCTATTTATGTCATGTAAAAATAGCTTATCTTTGGGCCTGGTCAGAAAATTGTAGGCAGTATGAAGTTGTGTGTGTCAAGAATGCTCTCCATTCCTTTTCAGTTGGGAATTGCTACTCTTTAGCTCGAAAGGAACGGCTGACAGGATGCCATGTTCTGAACCACTGACATGAAAATGCAGCAAAACTTTCATCCACAGTATCTCCTCTGAGAGGACTGCCTTTTAGAGAGCATTAATTCCATTGCTTTGTGGTCACTGGGCTGTATTCAGAGTTTATTGCATTAGAAATATCTAAATGAAGGGTGCGATGTTCATAGCAATGATGCCTCTCATTCAAAGGAAATGATAGGAACGTTTCAGTGCTTTCTGGGTTTTCTGTATTTTTATTAACTTGCATTGAAGTTTAGGGCAATTTTATACATCATATCAGACAAAAATGTTTATGAACTTTAAATCAGGTCAGATTAAGCCTCGAAAAGTCTAGAATAACTTCAGATGATATTTATATCATGTTGTCTAGAAATTGTATTACAAGATTTGCATCGCATTTCTGCAGTACAAATTGGAAATCTTATGCATTAGAGACCATTTTGGAATATAATATCCAAATGCACTTACGATTTCTCATATTCTTTGCAAGCTTGAAAGCTGAAGAAAATGGATTGCAGGATTCATGCCATTAACTAGCTGTGTGGTGTCATTTTGTCTGATTAAGTGGAGAATTATGTCATCAGGTTGATGAATCTCACACATGGTGGCTAAAGCTGTGTGCGCATCTAAAATGCAGTAATTTGCACTTTCTGAATTTCAAGGCATGGGCTGTACATATGCAGGGTTCAGTTTGGAATGGAATGGTTTGGATCTGAAGCACAAGTCTTATGAGGAGCGGCTGAGGGAGCTGGGATTGATCAGTTTGGAGAAGAGAAGACTCAGGTAGACCTCATTGCACTCTACAACTGCCTGAAGGGAGGCTGGGATGAGGGGGGGGGTTTGGCCTCTTCTCCCAGACAACAAACAGGATTCCAAGGGAATGGCCATAAGTTGTATCAGAAGAGGTTTAGGCTAGACTTGAGGAAGAACTTTTTCTCTCAGACTGATCAGGCACTGGAATGGCTTCCCAGGGAGGTGGTGGGGTCGCCATTCCTGGCAGTGTTCAAGAGGCACCTGGATGCGGAGCTACGAAATATGGTTTAGTGCTTGTGGTAGCAATGGTGATGGAAGGACGGTTGGACTACATCCTGTAGGTCCTTTCCAACCTTATGATTCTGTGATTCTGTAATTGTATTTGTACGCTGGGTGCGTGCTGAAGACCTTAGTTCAGCAAGGTACTTGGAGTCATGCACAACTTGCATAATTCCTATGCTTGAATGAGACACTTTTAAGCACCTTGTTGAATTATGGCCCATGTGGTGATCGTTTCTCTGCTCAATGGAATCAAACTCTGGCACTGGAAATGACCTCACGTAGGTTGGTTTTAGCATTTGTCTGCATTGTGCCACCACCAGTTGGCTCTTGCTTTAATTTGTGGTTTTGTAGCTATCCAAACACTTGAATTGTGTTGTGGTGATCTTCACAACAATTATATGCCTCTTGATTGCCTTTCTGTTTTCAATGCAAAATTAGCATTGTTGAAAAAATAGCTGTGCTTTTTGGTTGCCCAGAGAGTTACTCTCGATTTAATGTGAATAGTTAGAAATCTATACAATATGTGTAACATAAATAACAGAAAAAAAACCTAATAACTTTGATCTATATGCTTAGCTATTTAGATATGTACTTACCTTGTCTACTGTATTTTAATGTTTTTCAGACAAGTATAAAAGAAGGATTACTACTGAAGCAAACCAGTTCTTTTCAGAGGTGGAAAAAGCGTTACTTCAAGCTTCGAGGTCGTACCCTTTACTATGCTAAGGATTCAAAGGTAATTCAGTGATACTAGCATCTAATGCCACGTACTTCAATTTTGCTTAGGTTTATAATTAGAATATCAATAATTTAATGATTTATTAGTGATTGTTTCAGTAATAGTAGTATTGTGCATAAGGAGCGGTATGCTCAATTAGCTTTGATTAAGGAAGACATGATATGTCGTGATTTTTATATTTGGAAGTCAAGTTTATCACTGTTCTTTTAACTTCTTGGGTTATTCAAACCAACTATTAATTCATCTTCTGCAATTGTTTTTAGAGGGTGGTTGGTCTCAAACAAATCCATGACTTCAAAAAAAGTAAAAATCGAATAATGCTTAGAAACTATCTCATAAACTGCATCCAAGCTCTTCAGTTTTGATGTCCATATTGCTCTTAAAGGGGTCAAAGTAGTTACACAAAATTGAAATAGGAAGTTTTTCTGCCAAAAGTTATTTATGTGGGGAAAAGGTGTTTCCTATCAATTGAAATTTGTAGTGGAAAATTCTGGGGTGGGCAGAGAGGAATGCTTCTGTCCTATCTTGAAGGCATTTCCTTCCTCCACCTCATGACTGAAATGAGAGCATTTTGCCTTGCTGAAGAGGCTCAGATCGTGCTGTTCCATAGCAATGGTCATTACTTTTTCTGTATCCTGTGGTGTTGCAGCATCTGACTGGAGATGTAGGTGACGTGCTTCAGGTCTCCATCAACTTCTCTAGCCAATCCTCTTAATAATATTCTATAACTGAGGCACTAAAACCTCTCTTTCTATGACTCTTGACTATGGGTACATACTACACACTTGTATGGCTGTGATGAATCAAGGAAGATGTAGTCTCTGCAGGGAGTCTAGCACTGAAGTACATGTGCTATTACACTTTTCTGCATTTGTTGCTACCCCAAGCAGTTTGTAAGTCTTAAAAAGCACCACAGATATGAGCTGTGAGAATGGCAGTGTTATCTGTGTCATAAAGATGAGAAAAGGAGGAGTAATGAGTAGGCAGTTGCATGAATACCCTGCAGCACTGACTCCCCAAACTTGCTAAGTCTCACCAAACACTGATTGCATGCTGGATCGTAGAGTAAGCAATTATTTTATTTCTACTTCCTATAGCATAAAAGAGAAAGAGTGGGGTATGATTAAAAAAGAGCAAGGCGATTCTGTTAGTCACAGAATCACAGATTTACTTAGGTGGGAGGGGACCTTAGAGATATCTAGCTCCAACCCCCTGCCATGGACAGGGTGGCCACCCACCATCTCAGGCTGCCCAGGGCCCCATCCAATCTGGCCTTCAATGTCTCCAGGAATGGGGCATCCAGAACCTCTCTGGGCAGCCTGTGCCAGCACCTCACTGCTCTCTGACTAAAAAATTTCTTCCTATCATCTAACTTAAATCTCCCCTCTTTTAGTTAAAGCCATTCCCCTTTTTCCTATCAGTATCAGACCATGTAAAAAATAATTTCCCCCTTCAAGTACTGGAAGGCTGCAGTGAGGTCTCCTCAGATCTTTCTCTTCTCCAAGCTAAACAAGCCCAACTCCCTCAGTCTTTCTCCACAGGGGAGGTTGTCCAGCCTTCTGATCATTTTCATGGCCTTTCTCTAGAGGACCACATTCCTCCTGTCCTGGACCCCCAGGCCTGGATGCAGTACTCCAGACAGGGCCACACGAGGGCTGAGTAGAAGGGGACAATCCCCTCCCTTGCTGGCCACCCCTCTTTTTGATGCAGCCCAGGAAACTGTTGGCCTTTCAACCTGCAGACATGCGCTGCTGACTCATGTCCAGCTTTTTGTCCATCAAGACTCCCAAGTCCTTCTCGTCATGGCTGTTCTCAATGATTTCTTCTCCCAGCATGTACTCATATCTGGAGTTGCCTCAAACCTAAGTGCAGTATGCATTTTGGGAGTCACTGTTTTGTGTTCTCTTAGTTAGCAAATAGAAACGTATTTGGTGGTGAGGTAGGAAGTTCTGGCACCTTAATAGTGTTTTCTGTGTTTTCTTTTTTGCTTTTATTTTGTTTTTATCTTCCAGTTGGAGTGGACATGAGGAAATGAAAGCAGAGAGTGTAAGCATGCTTCACACTGGGCCCAGGCTATATTTAACATTTCTGTGTTCTTTTCCATTCACAGTCTCTAATATTTGATGAAGTTGACCTGTCTGATGCCAGCGTGGCTGAGTCGAGCACAAAAAATGTCAACAACAGCTTCACGGTATGGAACCATTATAATATTGGTCTTGAAAGCTGCAGATAGAACATTATCAGTAAAACAGTAATCCTCTGAATACCTTCTCATTGTCCTCTGTGTGGAAATGAAATGTCCTTTATTTGAAAATGACATATTTCATCAGCTATTGATAGCTTTGCAGATGAATTTTTTAAATGGAATTTGGAAGGTTAGATATCTATCTATTAGGTAACATTTACATCAAAAGATGCTGGTACAAGGCATTAAAAATTTATCAAGCTTTGGTATTAGTACTTTTGGTTTTATCCTGTAGTTTGTCTTTGAAGTGGCATGGTAGATTGATTCAAATGTAATTATGTTATTGCTTTAATTTCCCGTAATATTTTTGCTATTCTGTCATATTGAAGTCTATTCTATAATTTTTTTCACTACTGATCATATCCTTATTTTAACAATTTCTAAGTTACGAGAAAAAAATGGCCTCACATCTGTACCTTGAATCTGATAGTGGTATAAGAAATAAGAGTCTTCATAAATCCCCAGTTTTGTAAGTTCACAAGTGTGTTCTGAACAGAGGTCTTGCCATCTATTGTTTAAGAACATGTCTGGAATTAAGTGAAAATGTTGGACATGCTTTCTATGCTGGGAAGGTAAATTCTTTGAACAAGAAAAAGCAATGGGGAAGCAAATTATAGCAGTAACTGCAGCAGTATAATTTCTCTTAAACTACATATCCCTATATATCCCTTATTCTCTATTACAAAGCAGATTTTCTTTTTTCCTGAGGATATGTATTATCACAGATGGTCGGTGCTGTCAGTATTATAATTCAAGGTGGTCCAGTGCAGGGCTCCTTGAAGTTTTGTCAGCTCTTCCTTGTGCTAGTACTTACCAGACAGCCACTGAAGCATTCAGAGAACTTAAAAGATGTGTTCACATCAGCCTGGGCAGCCCAGCGTGTTACAGAATCATAGAACTGTTTGAGATGGAGGGAACCTTTAAAGGCCATCTAGTCCAACTTCCCTGCAATGAACAGGGACATCTACACCTAGATCAGGTTGCTCAGAGCCCCATCCAGCCTTACCTGGAGTGTTTCCAGGGACAGGGCATCCATCACCTCCCTGGACAGAGAGAGGACATTCTGAAATCCAGACAAAACTGTTATGTCAGTATAAGTTTCTTTGCTGACAATTAAAAAGACTAATTTAATGTTAATTAAAAAGCCTAATTTGACTGAAGGTCTCTGATGAGGGGTGATGGTGTGATGTACTAGCTCACCTTGCCAAAAGGTCCTTCTCACTGCTGGGAAGCTGCTTCTGTCTGTCCCCTGTATGGAATTACAGCTGTCAGGGAGGTATCAGGAAAGCTGAGGAATCAGGAGATGTGCAAAGATCATGAGTTGACAGTCCCAATAACTATGACTGTAACTTGTTATTCAGGAATACTCAACATGTAAGACTCAGCATCCCCTGATGTTCTAAACTTCACTCACTGTAGTTTCTTCAATGGGAAAAAGAAGTCTGTGGCATTGAAGTTATTGCATCACAAAATAAGATACTCTTCTTGGTGAAATTTTGACAGAGTGAGGTGTTATGGTTTTGGCTTTTTTTTCCTTGCTGTTTCTTAAAGCAAGTGTTTGGTGTTTCAATTTCAAGTTGTGTCCTTTAAATCCATCCACTGTTCACCAAAGTCATGCTTTGTAACTAGCATCAAGGTTTCTGGGGAAGACTGCGGTGAAAAAGAAATCTTGGGGCCTACAGCTTGAACAAAGTCAGAAACCAATTTATTTTCATGTCCTGGGTAATTTGGAGCAAACTGTGCTCTCTCTAAGGAGTGCTAAAATTCATTTTGAAAAATAACTGGTGTGTTGAATTCAGGACTGAAGTGCCATCTGACTCGACTGTGAAATATGGTAATAGTCATCATCTCACTTAATCTTTTGGCTTCTTCCTTTGTGTTTGCTGAACTTGGTCCCCCAGCAGCATGACTTGGTAAAGTAAGATGCCTCTGGCCTTGCCTACATTAGTTTTGAGGGGGTGGTGGTGGTACTTTCCTGCAGTACTCCTTACAAATAAAGATAAACATTTTGTTCTTCTGTCTTTAAAAGCATAATCTGACCTTTCTTAAAGTTCCTTTTCCTTTATTTTCTGTTTTACAAGTGTTATGTCACTTAGTGATGTTGTAAGTGATCTCTTAGCATTTCTTTGGAGGGTGTTAAAAAAGTAAAAAAAATAATCCTGAGCTCTTGCCTTCTGTAGTTAATGTATTCCTTCTTTTTCTTTGGCCTAATAGCAGATATAGACTTCATTAGAGGGGATATGGTTGGACTGGATGATCTTGTAGGTCCTTTCCAACCTTGTAATTCTGTGATTCTACAATTAATATCCACCATAGGATGTACAGTGGTATTTAAAGAAAAACATACTTTTAAGAAATATACTTTAAGCTGCTACTCCACATCTTGTGGAAGCTTCTGTTTTGCCTTCTTTTGCCCCTTCCAATTTGTCTATTTGGGGACAGAAGTGTCAAGATTTTCCATGCTCTTTTTTGGATAAAACTCAAGTCCTAAAATTAGTAATTGAACACACATTTAAGATTGAGTTTATTTGTGATGTGCGTGCTTGTAGAATATTTTATGTAACTAAATATCAGTGTTTATTCACCAGAATTACTTTTCCTTTCTTGCTACAAACAAATTGAAGCTGAGGGGAATGTTAAGATAAATAAATAGATCCTAATGAAAATCAGGAGCTACTAAACTTAAAACAGCCTATATTTTTCAATTACTTTTTCTTTATTACTTTTTCTTTATATTTTTCAGTGAACAGCTAAATCATTTCAAGCAAATTGTTCCTAGTGAGCAAGAGTGTGTTAGGGTAGCTTCTAATAGATTACATGCATTTCATATTTCTGTCTGCCCTCACACACAGAGGAAATGATGTCCTATGGCTTCAGCAGGCTTTAAATCAGACCCTTATGACTGGATTCTTTTCACTGGCACGTTAGTCCATAGGAAGAGAGAAACCCAGCTGAAGAAGTTGATTCAGCCCATCAGAGATTTACATTGCCTGCCCCATCAGCCACAAAGGAGTCTACTGGGGCTTGTGCTCTACCTGAGCCTACAGTTTGGTGGGATCAGTGTATGCTGAGTCCTTACTGATGTTTTTGAGTGCTCTGCTGAACGTTTTATCCACTTTGCTTTGCTTCTGCCTCTATGTATTGTTTATCTTCTCTCTGCACATCCTGAGGAGTGTAGCTGCACAACATATTGCCTCTTGGGAACACTATTAGGATGAATCAGCATCCCCTATTATTGCATGAGAACAAATGGGGCAATGACCAGTTTTGCCCAGAGCTGTAATTCCTCACATGTCTTGGTTTGTAGGGATGGCAGATGAATTGCTAATATTTCAAGTGCCTTTAGGAAAGTATTTTCACTGTTCACTAAACAAGACTGAGACTGAATGAGACTAAATAATGGTCTCTATTGTGCAAGCATGGAGTCTTAGGCAAGTGCAATGTTAGTGGTATACTTATGTTCTAGTGGGCATGAGAAATTGGATTTTTTTAACTAAATAATGATTCTTGAACAGGTTTATTCAAATAATTAAATTCTTCAGGGCAAGAAAGGCAATTATGAAACACCTTAGAATCACAAAATGGCTCGAGTTGGAATGAACCTTAAAGACCATGCAGTTGCAACCCTCTGGCAGGGCCTCCACCCACCAGCTCAGACTGCCCAGGGACCCATCTAACCTGCCCTTGAATGCCTCCAGAGTTGGGGCAACCACAGGTTCTCTGGGCAGCCTGAACCAGTGCCTCATCATTCTTTGAGCAAGTAATTTCTTCCTAAATAGGTCTCGACAGGCTAATTTTTGGACTAGGTATCTACATGTGTTCTGCTTTTTATGGTGAGGAACTTTTAAAGTACATCAACAAGAAAAAATCTATAGATGTTGACCATGATGCCTTTCAATGGCTGAGCCACATTCATGATTTAAATGCCCTTTGTAATTATAAATCCAACTTAGTTTCGCATAAAATGTGCAGACATTCTGTGGCTGCATCTCTATTAAGTTCATCCAAATTAATGTTTAAAACATTTAATTATGCTCCTCTGTGATAAATATGATAGCAAATACTAGTTTCAAGGTAGAATTTCTAGCTTTGAGGTATTACATTGTACAGTAGCCTTTATGCATTTGTTTTAAGCAACTTGTAGTTCATATAAGAATTTTACACAGAACCATGGATGTGCAATTTCTTACTTACATCTTATTTCTTATATTCTGAAAAGTGAAAATTCTGATTGGATTAAAATTTTATCAAATTGTGTCTAGCAGTAACAGAGGAAATAATTTCACTGTTTTTCTGGAAGGTGCCCTCTAGGAATATGGTAATTAATGCACCAGATAATACTTGAATTAGGGCTTCAGCTTGCCGTATCTTCAAATTGGGATTCAGTGATGGGTTTAGAGACCCTCAAATCTATGTGACAACAATAAGATTAACAACCATTTAAAGAAGATTCCAGTATTTGCTCAATTAAATAAAGATTCCACTGATAATTAACTAAATCTCCAGTAGCTGTGATAGGAGCTTTGTCATCCAGGCAACTGAAAATGGAGACTCTGACTTCCAGCTTTCTGAATCAAATCCGTTGACTGAATATGCAGCTTCAGAGAATGGTCATCTTGAGGGAATGGAAGCTACAGTAGACAGATTGGCTGCCCTGGAAAGCCTATTGCAGTTCCTAGTAATCAGAAACTGGCTGGAAATGAAGATTTGTATTCCAGCCAATTACTTTGATTACAGTGATTCTGGGTACGCTTGCAGAAATGTCTGATATCTTTTCTTTTTCTTTCTGCTGTTTTCTTTGTTTTAGTAATGCTAAAGACCATATGGGAGTCCAATTTTCCATTCTGTGAAAAAATATTTCCTCAGGTAGAAACCTGGGCTTTAAGTATTCTCAACTAATGCTGTGCAAAGCCAATGGAAGCACATAAATGCTTCTTTCTTTTATC